CTTTAAACCCTTTGGTGGCGGTGTATAAATCTTTGTACTTGAACCTGTGTGGTCCGTAAGCAAGTTCCCATTCTTCCACCACTTCTGCAAACTTCCTCTTCCTCCTTACATAGTAAACTGCTCCTGAGACCGCAATTGATGTTGAAATTACGCAAATCAGGGGCAAGCCGATTGTCAAAAGTTGAGACACCTCCTTTTTTCCAACTCGAGGAAGCTTTGGAAGCCTACTGAGATCGAGCCTTTGTGCAATCCCATTTATCTGGAAGCTCCATCCCAGGATATAATGGGATGTTGGTCGTGAACCCGTGGATGATGAGAATCCAACGTACATTTTCCTCTTCAATATTGGCGAAAGATCGTAGGACAGAGTCAAGAGAGAAGCATTTGGCTTACCTTGTGACAACGGAGCTAATGTAACATCTATTTGCTTATCCAACCCATTATATTCCACCCAAATTTGAATTGGCTGGCCACTAGTAAGACTTAAATCTAAATCTGAACCATTACTAGCCTGGTATCCTGCTGGCTTTGCTGCTTTAGACCTTAAACTGTTAATATCTATACCAACATGATTGTCATTGATATCACCGAAGTCATTGGTCTCGTCAGTGTCCAGCTCCACCCCGAAAACGTGATTAGTGGCATTGCCATTGTTGCTCTCATTGAACAGGCCCAAGAACCCCTTCGATTGAGCCCCTGGAAGACCTCTTGTTGGTGCAATCACGAAAACAATCCCGTGACCACCTGCCAGGGTTGGAAATTCTGGCACCATAGCGAAGACGAAGTAGGTGGAAAAGGAGAAAGCTGAACTGTTCGAGGTGTTTTTGAAATTGATGGGATTGGGAAAAAAGGCATGCCCCATGCCCCCTTTTCTGGAGTCAGATGTGTTGGTCAGCTCAAGGATGCCATTTCTTCTGATTCTTGCTGCTCCATCAACAATCAGGTTCGCTGATTGGAACCCGTTATAGCTGAATCCGGGATCGTTCAAGGCTGCGCATCCAGCCAGTATACACGCCACCACCAGTACTAAAGTTGTTTTGAGTAACATTGTGTAATTAGGCTTGTTCTCTTCTGTATACTATAGAATTTATCTTGGCGCCAAATCAGTTCTTGACTAGTCTATAATAACAAGAATAAGAGGCTACTGTTCTTTTCACCTTCTTTTTTGGTTTTCTTCCTTTCGTGTTTTGATGAAAAGGATAGTCAATCCCGTATGTCCAACATAAATGCGACCTCAAAATTTCTACATTCAACCGTCAAAGACTCGTAGGCGAATGAAAATTTCGCAGCATATCACTGAGTAGTATCTAGATCTCCAACCTTCTTTGATTACTCCGCGTACACTTGCATCGCAGTCCTCCCCTTGATGCATAAGTGACTGCCATTGGAAAATTTGATTTTTCAAACTACGAATTCTAACCTCTGTAGGACGTATAGTTATCGATCTTTCTGTTTGTGCATTCTTCGGTCAATTTTACCTAAGACTTTGAAATTTCAATGGTCATACGTAAAAGGAGATTATGAATTATGATGATTCTCAAAATCCTGTTTAGCCTGGAAGGACATAAGAAATAGAGGTAAAGAGATTTTACAGATGATTTTTTTTTAATCTTTTTTTTTTTTTTTTTGCATAGACCAACTTATGTAAAAGCGACCAAATGTTATTGCATGTAATTTGAATAGGTAGTCAGAAAAACTTCATACAAGTCGTTTGCCAACATTATTTGGATCAATCATAAAAGGACTCTGAATTCATAACAGATCAAAATGTTTGAGTATAACCTTTTTTTTCAGTAAAAAATAAATAAAACCATGCGAGACTAGTCAAATATATATTGCCTCAATAAATCCCTCCTTAGTCATCAATGTAGTAGACTAGAGTTGCAGTCTGTGTGTTCAAATTGAAACACAATTTGTTCAACAATAAAATATGCTTTAAATCAGTGTAAGTGTAGAAATTATTTTTGCAAAACCACACGTGGCAAAATCCTAGAGCATCAAATACTTGGCGAACTTAGATCAAGGCCTTTCAAATTGAGTTTTATCCAATTCAGTCGGTTCTTATAATTCTCATAGTAACTTTTAGCACAAACTCATACAATTTTGATGTTATCATAGTTGTTATTTTAATTTAATTGTATGAATTGAAAATTTCATATCTACATCAAAATTGTATCAATTTGCACTAAGGGTCCGTTTGTTTCGGGTGAAAATGTTTTCCAGGAAAATATTTTCCTAATTTCCCGTGTTTGGTTGCACAAAAGTTACTGAAAACATTTTCCTATGTAAAATATTTTCACTCATCTTATGAAAAACAACTTCCCTTCCAAAATTTTTTTTAGTGTAAACAGGAGGACTCGAACCCAAAACCTCTTCCTTACACTCCCTCCCCCGTACCACCCCACCCAACCCAACCCAACCCTCCCCCTAGTATATTCAAAATAAAAAAAAAAACCTCATCCTGCTCATCCTATGCTAGTAATTAATTATGTATAATAGGGACATTTTTTTCTAGAGAAACTATCAGCAGTAAGAGTGCAAGATATATGTCACAATAAGCATTGCATGTAATTGATATTTGACACTAAATGGCCAGCAATTTGTTTATTGCTTAAGGATATATTTTTTATTCATATATACATTTCTCCAAGATTTTTTAAAGTTAAACAATGAGATAAATTTTTTTATTTTGCATGGGAAGAAGTATGTAGTTATAATGTGTAGAAAGTAAAGATAGAGATAAAAGTGAAAATATTTCAAAAGTTAAACAAACACCAGAAAAATGAAGTAAGAAAATATTTTCAATAAGTTGACCAAACACCTAAAAATGATGAAAGGGAAATGATTTTCATGGAAAATTACTTCCACGGAAAATATTTTCCCAAGGAAAATATTTTACTTCCAACCAAACAGACCCTAAATGTTATAACAATCACATAACGGGACACAACTGAACACTCCAGCTTGAGAGGTAATGGATGCGGCTGACTTGCCTAGTTCCAACTAAAGCGAGACCCCGGCCAAAATGTCAAGCCACGACCATTTAAATATGGGCTAGCCTTGGAAACTTCAAGTCCAGACCCGCTGAAAACCTAGGTCCAAGGTCCAGTCCAGTCCCGGTCACCATGCAAACCAGTGACCCAAAATTCTAGCCATATGGCCATTCTTGATTTTGACAGCAACAAACAAAACAAGTATTTAAATATGGGCTAACCTTGGAAACTTGAAAGCCAGACCCGGTGTAGACATAGGTCCAAGGTCCAGTCTGGTCCAGTTCGGGTTATCATGCTAACTAGTGGCCCAAAGTTCTGGCCACATGGCCAAACTTGATTTTGAAAGTTATTTTTTTTTTCTACCAAAAATGGTAAGAACACACACACACAGTTAGATTAATATTTAGGGAGACACCAAAAACGGCCCAAAGGACAATTTAAGAGAGACCCACAAAGCAACCTGTTCAGCCAATTGGTAACTGAAAGTTACAAACTTAACAATTTTATTCCTACGCTGGCAAAAGAAGAAATGGTTTACATGCCAAACTCGACTTTTGAGAATACATAACATTTCTGAATATGGTTAATTTGTTTAGAGAGAAAATGAGACAATGAATAGAATTGCCGCTATTGGATATCTACATTTGTGTCTTTTAATTACAAGCTAGCTAAATCTACACGTTCACAATCTAAATTCACATCTTTATAATCAGTTGACTGAAAAATCCCTAATATTTATGGGGCTTTGGTAGAAAATTTTTCAATAAAAAAAATTAGTTTTTTTTTTTGTGAAAATAGATGGCACCAATTTTGGATTTAAAATTTACATCATTATGAATGGTCTTAAAATTTCTGACCTTTTTTCATTCACTTTGATGACATTTATTTATTTTTCCTCTTATTTGGTGGAGAGAATGTTTTATATCTTTTTATCATGTAAGAGGAGATAAGAGATTTTTTTTAATTGTGTGAATAAAATATTTTTATCTTTTTGTCACATTGCACTTTAATGTTAATTAAAGTATAATTTTAAAAAACACTAACGGATCGATGATTAGGATGATGGTATCAAACAATTTCAATTAATTAAAATTTATAATTGATTTTTTAAGCATCTTTTGTTGCATGAAAGACAAGTTTTGCTATTGGAAAAAGTTTCTATCAAACTCCTATGGGCTTTATTATCATCATAATGCTAGAGGTGTGGATTTAAACTGAGGGAGTGTAGATTTAGCCCCATCCTTTACATTATTCTATCAACTTAATGATTTAGAAGAATTATTTAATAGTATTAACACGTAATTTTCCTTTCACTTATAGACTTGTACCATGCCAAATTAAAACTAGATTTGGTCACATAGTTTTTAAGGCCATTGTACATCTTAAAAGTACCAATATTTTCATTGCATACAGGTAGTTAATTTTAAGTTTCATAAGAAACATACAAACTAAATCCAGATTCCAAGATATAACCTCTAACTCCAAATCCTAACTCAAATGGTCGAGTTAATCTGACAATGAAGTATTGGATTAGTAAAAACTACAAACAATCCAAAAAAAAGGCGGTCTTAGTTTTATTTTTCTTTAAGTTCACGAGAAACTCTTAGGGTACGTTTGGGGAATTGAATTAGAATTGGAATTCTATAGAATTGGAATTCCAAATTGCAAAAATTGAATTAGAATTGGAATTCTATAGAATTGGAATTCCAAATCCTTGCAATTCTTTCGTTTGGAAAATGCATAGAATTGATACGGAATTTATTTGGAATTCCAAAATTCTTTGTTTGAATGAGAGAAAAATTCATTAGGAATTAGAATTGTTTTCATGAAACATTTGCTTACATAAAATTTTTCTTTTTTTATATAATAATTTCTTTTTTTCTTACATTTAGCTAATTTTTACTAAAAATTTAAAGGAAGAAACCAATTTGTACCTTTAATAATTTATTTTTTCTTGCATTTAGCTAATTGTTACTCAAGCTTTAATGAAAAATGCAAATTACTTCCTTTTTGGCAATATATCAGCCAAAACCCCGAAACTAGCTAGGACATTCTGGCAAAATTACAACCAACAATGACAATATAAATAGAATATTGCAACAATGATAATATAAATCGACACCTGCATATCAAGAACAGAATACTTGTGCTAAATTGCTTGCTTAAACAACCATCATAGAGATAGAGGTTATATACACTGTAGTGGAAAAGTAGCCCTCATTTCTGGCTACTTTAACATTGAAATGGTTTGTTAGCAATCGAAACTTTTGGCCTCTGGAAGCAACACCAGTCCTAGCCATTAGTAGTCTCTTGGCGTCTGAAAAAAGCAAACATTGATACAGCCAAATATTGATATAATCCATGACTACTATAATGAAAAAAGCAAATTACTTCCTTTTTTGCAAAATACCAGCCAAAATCTCGATAAGCCCCAAGAGCAACAACCAGCTGAGACATTCTGGCAAAACCACAACCAACAATGAAAATATAAATAGAAAATATTGCAACACAAATTCACGATTCTTTAGAAGAATGCATTCTCACAAAAAGTTTAATAAATGTATTCTCGCTAAAAGAAATAGAAAAATGTATTCTCGCTAAAAGCCTAAAACAAGCCAAAGAGAGAGGTAGCCCTTTTGAATTGTAATGGTCCTTTCTAGCTTCAAAGTAAGACAAGAATTCAACCAATTGTGGATTTCAAAAACACAAAACAAAGGAACCAAGCCATCAGCTTCAACATTGAAACACCAAGGCACCACCACTTTCCTCCTCCTTGCAGACCTACACAGCCTTCATGAACATCAAAAATTCATTGGTCACGTCAAAACATATAGTCCACAACTGCCTTGTAAAGTTCTTGCACAAATATAGTCAGCAAATGCACCAGCAACATTCCTTTTCCCTGTATGAAATACTCCTGATTTTTTAGGTGGTTTAAGACACAGATGCCCATGCCAGTTCACAATGTTTCCATGTCAGGTAAGGGTGACTGTAAAACTGCATAAGCTCAATGCTAAATTAAGACCATTTTCCTTTGACAAATAATACTTGAATAAAGACACAACAACCATTTTGCTTTAGCTGTAGAGCAAATGTATCATTTTCACAAGAAAGGAAGCACCTGCCTCTAGCTTTTCCTCTTGCTTCTTAATATCATTCTCATCTAATATTCAGCGCCTTCAAAGAAATTTGACAGGGTCACTAATTTGCTACAACAAGTATACAATAATCTCACCTCCTTTATAGAACAAGACACTACACCTGGTGTGAAAAGTTAACAAAATAAGGAAGTAGAATAATAGGCTTAATCATGGGAAATTACAGTTATATCCAAGGCTTACTTACAGATGTTACTCTACAAGCAGTTACTTTAAGTTCTTGTTCAAGTAGACCAGGCTCTGCTTCATTTAATTGGAGAAAACCTCTCTCCACTACCCTGTAATAAATTCAATCATGGGATTATTTGTAAAAGTCATTACCGTTTATAACATACCTCGTCGCTAATTTTATCATACACCAACATCGAAATTAAGTTTAAGCTTTGGCATTTATAACATATATACTTCATTGCTCGAGTTTAGCTACTATTATACACAAAAGTGAAATTAAGTTGACTAATTTTTACAAAATTTGCCATAAACTTGACAAGTTTTTCACCATTCAAAAGTTGTGCAAAATTGAAATTAGAACATCTACTTTACAATCATATAACGTTAGACAGTCATGAAAAACACTACATCAGATTCTCACTCAAAAAAAAAACAAAAAACACTACATCATAGATCATATTGGACATTCATCACCTACCTGACCAGCAGTGAGCTAGCCTTGAATAGTAACTTGATTGGCATAACAAAGTATCTATCCGTGATACTTCTTAGGGGTAAAACAAAATGCGCATGGGCAGTCCTAAAAACAGGAACACCAGCTGCCACAATGAGGCAATGCAAAGTTACATATTGGTAGCATGCAGTACATTCTTATAGGTGTCCAGGACAAGTGAAAAGGACACAAGTCTGTTGAGCAGAATACAAAAAGAAAAAGGAAATAATCTTCCTTCGCTCTTCAGTCCAAAAATTCACCCACTCAGCTTCTCTAACTTAGTAGAAAACCAGTATACTAGCTTATAGTGCATAAGCAGATTGGTGTTCAAGGTATTCCTAATATTTGTGAATAACTAATGCATGCTTTTACCATAAAGCGTGCAAAAATTGAAGACAAGCCACCATTTTAGGAACAATTAACCAGCACTTAATCAGTAAACGTTGCCACCCATACAAAGTATCTCAGTTTATTGCACCAAACTAATAACTGGATAGTTAGAAATTATTCAAGATATATAGTTACTAATTGGCATCAAGAATCCCAATCAACAATAGCTCATGCTTATAGAAATAAAGACCATGAAACAAACATCTCAACATTTTACAAGAGATGACAAATCAACCAGGGAATTGATTAATATTTAAATTAATGCCACAATATACCATTAGACACAGAAAACACCACAATCTTTTTGAAATAAAATTAACTTTTGATGTATTTGGTTATTAAGCCTTCAGAATTTCTTCTATACAGACTTCACATGATTTCATATTCAACTACAGCTCAGTCAAAACCCATTTGGAAGCAAGCGCCTCCACTAGAACCTAGAGAGCTACTAATGTAAGAGCAGATATCATTAATTCCTGCTTAAGGGGCCTTAAACCCCTCCTCTGTAACCCAAAAAAAAAGAGAGCAGATATAATTGATGTGTAGTGCATTGCAACATGAAAAAGAGTAGGGAAACGGGCTATCACATTCTTAAGTGGTATCTGCTCACTATTATTGAAATAAAAACCAGAAAGCACTACAAACATAAACCCTCTTCCAAGACTACCATCTCTATTCTAAAACACAGAGATAACAGAGGATGATAGTCAATTAGCACTCATCATAAGAAAAAATAGACATGAAAACAGAACAAACCATTGCAATGTGTCCAATGAAACAAAGCTATGTAATAAAGCCCATAACCAATGATTAATTGAAAAAATTTCAAAGATAAAGTAACCTTTCACAAGCCCTAAATGTGTCTGAAATTTGGGGAAAGCAGAAGAGCTGAAGGAGAGAGTCCAAACGTCAGGCTGAGAGGAATAATGGTGATTACAGCAGCAATGGAGGAGTGGCAGAGGCAAGTGTAGAGACGGAGTGACAAAAATTGGATGGAGTAGGTCTTGTGATGGGCAAAGAGATGGGCGGAAGGTGGTGGGATTGGCAAAGGATGGAGGGAGTGGCCAGAGAAACAGAAGGCAGGAGAGGTTAGTGTTGGAGGTGGAAACGATGGTGGAGAAGGAGCAATCGGAACAGGAAGCTATTTCTTGCAACTTATGTTTGACCCGATTTTAATTTTTGACCCATGTTAGATCCGCGTGTAGATCCGGTTTAGTTGTGGAATTGGAATTGGAATTCTTTTGGTCCGATAAAGAATTCAATTTATGGAATTGGACTCCGTAGAATTCAAATTCAATTCTAATTCTTTATGTAGAGCAGAATCCAAACAGCAGAATTTGAATTGGGGCTCCAATTCCAATTCTAAACCCAATTTTATGGGGAACCAAACATACCCTTAGTTACGAGTACCAGTTCATAGTTGAGGTTGGAGGAAACTTTTTTGGACTAGTGGATACTAATCTGTTTTCACTATTCAGTAAATGAGACAGCTGTTTCTAGCAAGAAATTTTCTTTTCCCCCTGTTTTGAGTACATGAAGGAGATTGCAGAGTAAATGCAAATTGGAGCAACGAGAGTTGAACCTTGGCATATGAATACAAATGAGTGGATGTGCTAATCTGGACAAATTATTCTAAATTAGGTTGCTTGTCAACTTTCCAGTCTCAAGAGTTTAAACTCAATGATACTGTAGCGCTACAGGAAGCCTCAATCTTCTCATGATTAATGTAAACCTCAAACATGGTGAATCAAATAGATAGCAATACTGAGTATTCAAAAATAAATGAGGCCTTTATATCCTCCTGAGTGATTGGTTAAGATGATCAGAATTAAATATTATGATCATAATTCATCCAAGGAGTCCAATTTATCTACTGTGAATTGTTAGTCATGCAATTCTTGCAATCGTGCTTGTTGTATACATTACTGTCTGATTTTCAGGTACTGGCAGGAGTTCATAAGGTCAAGTACCCTCCCGTATCTGGGTTTCAATATATCCATCTTGTCAAATGATAAAAGAAACGGATAAAGATAGTGGTACTAAGTACCCTTGATTGATTTAAGATGTTTATTCAATCTTGAGTTGAAACAAGTGGTGAATGACTCTCAGGTAAGAATTCATACATGTGGCTTGGACCAAAACCGATAGTGATGATCATGAACCCTGAACACATAAGGGAGATCACAACAAAGATTTACATCTTTCAAAAGCCTCGTGCTAATCCACTTACCAAATTGCTGACACAAGGGCTGGTGAGCTATGATGGAGATAAATGGGCTAAACACAGAAAACTCATCAATCCCGCTTTCCATGTGGAGAAATTGAAGGTTCTCTCTCATTTTATCTGGGTATTTAATGAATTATCTCTTCATCTTTTATAAGATCTACAAGGTAAGGTTGTCATACCAGAAACCTTGGAAACTTTGATTAGTTCATTGGAACGAATGATTTCCCTGTGATGAAGTGGTAAAGTATCTGATTACAGGAAAAGCAAAAACAAATGTGATACCTAGTTGACAAAATGAACTGAGAATTCTTACTGGAGGAATAGCATTGTACATGACCTCTTTTTCGTTTTCCCGTGTTCTTGCCTGTAGCATATGGTCCCATCATTTTATGCAAGCGCTAGTGAGATGTTGAGCAAATGGGAGGAGATTGTTTCAACCAATGGCTCCTGTCAGTTGGATGTTTGGCCCGATCTTCAAGCTCTGACTTCTGATGCAATTTCACGGACGGCATTTGGAAGTAACTATAAAGAAGGAAAAAGGATATTTGAACTTCAAAGAGAACAGTCTGAACATTTCCTAAAGGCTAGAGAATCAATATACATTCCAGGATGGAGGTAAATTTTGTTAACTCACTGCCTTCTCTGTTCTAAAGAAGCTTTTGACTTCTAAACTCAATGCTATTGCTTGGAAAAGATCCCTTTACCCAGTAAATGAAGTTCGATATATAATCTTTTGTTGCTTGTTTGTGAAACTATGTTCTTTTCAGGTTTTTGCCAACAAAAAGAAATAGAAGAATGAAACAAATTGCCAAAGATGTTCAAGAATCTATTAGAGAAATTATAAATGCAAGATTGAAGGCAATGAAAGAAGGGGAAGCTTGTGCTGATGACTTATTGGGTATATTACTCGAATCCAATTCTAAAGAAATTGATAATCACGGCAACAAGGATTTTGGCATGACTATTAAAGAAGTTATTGATGAATGCAAGCTGTTCTATTTTGCGGGGCAGGAGACCACCTCAGTGCTGCTTGTATGGACAATGATCTTATTGAGTAGGTATCCAAACTGGCAAGTGCGGGCTAGAGAAGAAGTTTTGCAACACTTTGGGACTAACAAGCCTGATTTTGAAGGGTTAAATCACCTAAAATTGGTAAGTACTATTTACAATTTACATATATCGTTGTATCATTGTGACATTCTAATGCTTTTATAGTTGCTCTGCCACCACCATAGATGTAAAATCACCTCAAACTCTTGAATACGTACACTCTATAGTTTCTTGATTAGGAAAAAAATACTTGGATGTATATAATGTAGCTTTGCTAAATAGATCTTAATTTACTTTTGACTAATCTTTATTTGCTTTCAATCTTCAATATTAGAACAAAACTCTATGCAATAATCTTGTCCAGTGAGGTCTCAAGAACAGATACTCTTAAAATGGTGCTATGGAGAGCTTTAGTGGGGAATCTGAGTGGTTTATCATCTGTAATAGGTCACCATGATACTACACGAAGTTCTCAGACTATATCCGCCAGCAGCTACCATTGCTCGAAGAGCTGCTGTAGAAATTCAGTTGGGAAATTTAACTCTACCAGCTCAAGTGCTGTTATCATTACCAACAATATTGTTGCACCATGACCCTGAAATATGGGGCAATGATGTGGAGGAGTTTAAGCCAGAGAGGTTTGCTGATGGAGTCTCAAATGCAACGAAGGGGCAAGTTGCGTTCTTCCCATTTGGTTGGGGACCTCGCATATGCATTGGCCAAAACTTTACCATGGTGGAAGCAAAACTGGCAGTAGCTATGGTTCTCCAGCGTTTCTCCTTTGAACTCTCCCCATCTTATTCTCATGCACCCCGTGAAGTCATAACTATTCAACCGCAGCATGGTACTCACTTGATTTTGCACAAATTGTAGTATGAAACTATGAATAAGTAATTTGCAGCTGTTTGTGTCCATAGCTTGTAAGGATACAAAAATTAAGATGTTCAAATTTGACTTCTCTTCCAAAATCGAGATAGATCTCCTGTACTCCTTCTGGAGTGAACAACAGTTGTATGGAGCAGTTTGTCCCTTCTGCATTTACTGTACCATGTGTGTTCGTAAATGCCTCAAACGTGATTGTAACTTTTAAGCAAGCATTGTGAAGTTTTCTTGTTAAAAGTCATTTACAGATGAACAAAAACTCAGCAGTCACACTTGTCCGCATAGGGCTTCACTTGCTTGAAGTCAGCTTCTGCAGCAATGTGTTTATTAGTTTGTGTTAGTCTTACAAAAAGGTGCGCAGCTGCCTAAGTAATGACATCTTAAGCAGAACTAAATCTGCAGTTGCTAATGGTAATAGATGCAACTGAAAATCGTGTTTAACAATTGACAGTGATGAATTACTTAAACACCACCTTTAAAAACATGTATTCTTTTTGTAATTGACATCATTCCAGACTTAGCTGTGAAGAATTCGCTTGGTCAATAATCAATACTCAGTTGCCTGGTTCACCAGAGACAAAGAAAAACCATAAATGATTCAATTAACTAATGAAATGAATGCCAGGAGAGTAAATTTCTCGAACTTTGATGATTGGAAAATGCATAAGAACAAAGTATAAAGAGATTAGAGGTGGTCATGCCGTTATTCAATCTCGTACTTAGGCAATAATATTAGTACTTCAATTAGCAATGTTATAGAGGTTATTATTGTATCAAGTTTTCACTTCACATAAAAAATCATATGGGTGATGTGGATACTTTAAAACATTAAGAGAGATCACATGGCTATTTATGAAATCTACAAAGGGGTTATGCGTAATTTACTGACATTTTTACGGTTTAAACGCATGAAAGACGAAACATGCAAAATCAAATTGTAAGAACCAACACCTGACAAGATGATAGGACATGGGCTATAATCTCGAATCTGCCCAAAATCATAGCATTGGATTGCCCGTCGGAATGACTTTCCAAAGTCGGCTGTCCAATTGAAAATTCTAGCGTTGATTTGCCCATCATCATTATTTACAAGTTTTGCCCCTTAGATTAATAGAGCGACACATACAAACGGCCAGAAATAATGAAAACAATTTAAAGAAAAACAGATCATGGCGTCGAAGCCCCTTCATCCCGCTCCACCAGAAAGCCGAGACCCTGACTCACAAAGCTTCTCCTCAAGCAATGGCTCAAGGAAGAAGAGCTAATCGTCAACAAAATAGCCCTCAAGGAGACTTAAATCGACTCCGTCCGCAAAGAAATCTCCCAACTCTACTGTTTCTTCTTCCTCTTCCTCTTCCATTCCACAGCCCTCATCCTCCTCTTCAGCGCTGCCTCCTCTACAGGCCGGGCCTCCTTCTGCCACAGGTCTTGGATCCCATCTTTGTGTTCCCTGTTGTGCTCTCTCGGGATCATATGGGCTGTCAGGTACAAGACTGACGTCCAGGGCCATCTGGAGAGGAGAAGGGGCAGGGACACCTGCCAGTTAATGGCCAAGATTTGGCCAACAAAATTTCTATGGTCCAGATTTTAACACATGTGAGACCCACAAAATATTGTTCTAGTGCTACTTGCTGTTATTTTAGTGTTATATCATGTACAAATGATATTACATCGTGTACAAAATGCACACAAGCATCCAGAACGGTCGTCCGTGCAACCATTCCAGCCCCAGGTCCATCTGGAGAAAAGCTTCTGTAGAGGGAAAAAGAGGAAGGCAAATTGTTGGCCACGTGCGTTGAGGAGGTGAAGAACAAGGGGGTTGAGTTTGACCCGCTGAGGAGGGTTGAACCATCCAAAGCAGCCAGGAAATGGTCTTCTAGGGACTTTGTCTCTCTTTTTCTTCACTGTGGCTTGTTTGGTCATTACTCTCACGAGGGTCATTTTGTGCAATTACTAATTCTAAGTTTCTAATCTTTGCAATAGAAGGCAGAGGAGGACCGGGTTAAGAGCTTCTACCGTCTGCTAATAGATTTCTTGAATATGAAAGTGAACCTATTTTTGTCTTTTGTATAGCATCTTTCTTAACTTTTTCCTCAACTTTCATAGTGTATGTGGAAGTTCCTGTTAGGATTTAAGCGCGGAACAAATAATTATTGAGATATCAAGTACATAATAATTTAATGATAAACAAATCACAAGCATGAAAGATAAGCGAAACACAATATTTAATGTGATTCGACTCTACTATTGAACCTATGTCCACGGGAAGAAATCCGTTCTTTATTATGAGAGAAAAATCCTATATAAGAATACAACTTAAATTCAAGTCTAGTCCTTACATATCATCTCTCATCTCCTAAGAATTTTCTCTTACCACCCATGTATAAGGTTTGCCTCTTGTGTGTTCTTGTGTGTCTCTTGTGTAGTATGTCAACCCACCTATTTATAGAGAATATTATTTGGCCAAAACCCAAAAAACAATAGGAAATCAGTGTTAATTCCTAAACTAGTTTAGAATGAGAAATAACTTCTATTCCTAAACTCATACAAAAAGGAAATTCCTTGACAACTATTCCAAATAACTATAACCAATTAGAAAATTAGTTATTTCTACACAATAAGAAATATGCCTAAAAGAAATTAAACGAATTTTTTAACAAATCTCCACATTGGCGAAAATTTCTTTTAATAACCATTTATCATCAAATACCAAATAATATAGTACCGAACTACACATCCGAATCAACTACCAAATAATAGGGTACCGAACTATATATTCGAATTAATACAGTCCTGACACCAAATTGATTTAATCAACAAATGAACATGCGTAGTTACCTCGAATCCAACCTCTAGTTGACTCGTGAGAAGATGTCTCAATTCACCATCTTCCTTCGCAGGATTTCTTTTCACCACCACTTGTAAATTGGAATCCCCTTTTGTGAGTTCTAGCCCTAATCAAGTGATAACATCACCATATTTTTTTTCCCATCCTTAGAACTGTCTCGTCACATGTAGTTTCCAAAACTCCACCTAAAACAAAAAACTCATAACTATCAGTGGTGCATGAAAATTAGATCATTTTGTTTCTTTAGGACACGTGTCACACTACCCAAAGAACATAATCGAAATCTAAAAGCCACTAGAATGAAGTTCAACTGTTGGAGGTGTGAGAATGTCTCCAGCGATTCATATCCAAAATTAAGATTGAACTCCACCTTTTCCTTGATCCTTGAATCACCTGTCTAGATTCAACGTCAAGTATCTTCATACTTTTCGACTTTCTATTCTTCACCTTCAATGTTTCTTCCCAAACTATTGAAACAAAAATACCACCTATTAAATTGTTCAATTGGTAATAACCGCCAATCTAGTTGATCTCAATAGGTAATTAGGATCCAACCATGAACCCCGCTCTGATATCAGTTTGTTAGAATTCAAGTGCTTGTGAGCAATCCAATTTCGTAACCAAGTTCTGATACCACTTGTTACGATCAAAATATGGAATAAACAACTATTAAGATATCAAGTACATGACAATTTAATGACAAACAAGTCACAAGTATGAAAGATAAGGGACGCACAATATTTAATGTGGTTCGACTCCACTATTGAGCCTATGTCCACGGAGAGAAACCCGTTCTTTATTATGAGAGAAAAACCTTATACAAAAATACAATTTGAATCCAATCCCAACCCTTGTATATCATTTCTCATCTTCCAAGAATTCTCTCTCACCACCCATGTTTAAGGCTCGCCTCTTGTGTGCCCTTGTGTGTCTCTTATGTAGTATGCTAACCCATCTATTTATAGAGAATATTATTTGGCCAAAACTCAAATAACAATAGGAAACCAGTGCTAATTCCTGAATTAGTTCAGAATAAGAAATAACTCCTATTCCTAAACTCATACAAATAGAAAATTCCTTGACAACTATTTCGAGTAACTAAAATCAATTAGAAAACTAGTTACTTTCACACAAAACAAAAAACTTGCTTAAAAGAAATTAAATCAATTTCCTAACAGATCTGTTAGAAGCTTTAGAAACCAAAAGTTATAAACTGCTACATTATTGATTTGGGGGCGTGGATGACAGCTGCAGAATCCTCTATTCTGCTTTCTGTTAATTTGGAATTATTTCAGTATTCAATACAGAATTTGGTTTTATTTGCAGAAAATATCTTTCGTGTACTATCATTTTCCAGAAGATATAGTTCAAGCAAGGCCCAGGATGGTGCTATAAAGGTTTTGTTATGAATCAATTACTGCTCAATATTATCTACCAATCTCATTTAAACCTACTAAATTCTCATTAATGGCTAGCTTTTGTTCTTTATGTACATCGCTTACTCCCTAATGCCAAACTAAACAGAAAGCCAGTGTCTTATTGATCAGCAATTGCATCAATTGCATAATTCTCCCAAAAGTCATTAACCGAAAGCTTTGTCCTCAATCACCGACCTCCAGACAGTAGCGATTCTGCAGCAGAGGAGGAAGCGTGTGAAAATGGCTTGTCCATTGAGGATGGGTATGATAAGTTAAAATCACTGAAACCTTCTTGACTTGCAAAAGACAGGCCAGTGGCAGAAATCCCAAGTGAGTGTAAATCTGGCAGTGCCAAGGCGCTGTCCAAGTATAGAACAACTTGACGCATGCTTGGCCTTGCTGTGGGCTCTGACTGCGAGCACAACAATCCGAGCTTCATAACCAATTCCACCTCCTCTTTCACATAATCAAGTCCCATGTTTGCATCAGCTGCTTCAAGAATTTGCCCTTTCTTCCAGCAAGAAAACACCCGATCAACCAAAATATCATCCTCTGTTGGGGAGTGCGGCTCTATTGGTCTTCTGCCACAAACTACCTCAAGCAAAAAGGCACCAAAGGCGTAGACATCTGTTCTGGTTGTAGCCTTGCCAGTTCTAGTATGCTCTGGCGCGAGGTATCCAAGTGTTCCAACAACATGAGTTGTTTGAGGGTCTGTTCCATGATCATACAATCTGGCAAGCCCAAAATCTCCTAATCTTCCATTCAATTCACTGTCTAACAGGACGTTGCTGGCCTTTACATCTCTATGGATCACTATTTGTTCCCATCCTTCATGTAGATAAAACAATCCAGATGCTACACCTCTTATGACTCGAAATCTTTGGTTCCAGTTCAGAGTGTACTCAGGCTGCTGGTATAGAAACCTGTCCAGGCTTCCATTTGGCATGTATTCATAAACCAATAGCAGTTCATCTTTTCGCCTGCAGTAACCTAAAAGTGGAACCAAATTTCGATGGCGTAACCGGCCTATGCTGACAATTTCTGCCACAAATTGTTTCATTCCTTGCCTGGATTCATGAGATACCCTCTTGACAGCAACCTCAAGTTTGGAGCTAGGCAGGACTCCATGATATACCCTACCAAAACCCCCTCTTCCTAGTAATCCCTTGTCCCTGAAACCCTTTGTAGCGATATACAAATCTTTGTACTTGAATCTGTGAGGACCAAACTCACGCTCCCACTCCTCAAGCACTTCTGCAAACTTCTTCTTTATTCTCACATGATAGATTACACCAGAGATTCCAATTGACAGGGAAGCAATCAAAATTATAGGTAAACCAATTGTTAATGCTTTAGACTTTTTCTTAGGTCCAACTCGTGGGAGCTTAGGAAGTTGAGAAAGATCAAGCCCTTGAGCCACACCGTTCATCTTGAAACTCCACCCCAGAAGGTAATGGAATGTTAGCACTGAACCGGTAGATGATGAAAATCCAATATACATGGTTTCATGTAATACTGAAGAAAGATCATAGGTTAAAGATAAAAGAGGTTTGCTTGGTTCACCAGCACGTATTGGAGCTAATGTGACACTAATATGCTTAGCTGTTCCATCATAGTCCACCCAAACTTGCATTGCTTTACCACTAAAAAGAGTCAAGTTCTGAAAAATACCGTTGTCATTGGAATAATAACCTGCAGGCTTTGCTTGTGTGGAGTTCAGTCCGTTGATGTCTATCCCAACGTGGTTATCATTGATATCATTGAACTCTTTGCTTTGGATCGTGTCGAGTTCCACTGCAAAAACATGGTTGGTGTCATTTCCTGTGTTGGTTCCGTTGAAGAGGCCGAGATACTGACTAGGAAGAGCTCCTGGAAGGCCTTTTGTGGGTGCAATCACGAAGGCAATTCCGTGGCCGCTCAAAATAGGATCTTCAGACACTATAGCAAAGATGAAGGTGGTGGAAAAGGAGAAAGCAGAAGAATTCGGAGGATTCTTGAAGCTGACAGGATTAGGAAAGAAGGCATGACCTTTCTCTTGCCTGGTGGCATTGGTTAGCTTCAAGAGGCCATTTGGCGTGACCTCAGCTATGCCATCCAGACTCAAGTTTGCAGAACGGAATCCATTGTAGGTGATGCTAAGGTCCTGGGAAGATGCAAAGCTAACTAGAGCAGAAACCACAAGCAGTATAAGCTTGATCAGAACCAACATGGCTGATGGCTCAATGCTGATACTAGCTTGAAAATTCCTCCAAAATCCGATGTTGGTTCAAGTAATTTATCAATGTGGAATCAGCAGTATCGATTGACTCTAGCAAACCCGGAAAAGAGGTTTTGATTTCTAGGCCTAGTGGCCCTTGGAAATATTGGATGGTTACGCTAATGGTGGAGCTTGTTTTAATTCCTCCATTCACTATTTCGAGTCCATCCGAAAACCATCACTTTGTACATCGTAATGTGACAGCATTATCTGCACAAAAGAATTACTTCCATATGTTGACTAATCTATACAATCTTGAGATCACATTCTGAGAAGCTTTTAGTATCACTTAGAATAGTTGAACATAATTCCGCGAAGGTGTTAAAAGTCATTATTTCATCTAGAACATTAGATATATATTTGCACTTGATTCCTGTGTACCTTGATAATACTACGAAATGAATGTCCCCACAATGCTGGTTGCCAGCTGTGCTGGAGGACCAACCCGTTTGTGTGTACGTATCCCCAATTTCAGTGGTCCTTGTCTCATTTCTGCTGTAGTGAAACGAGACTGTACTACGAAGGGAGGAAATTCTTTACACAAGATTCCACGACTCTTAAAATCCTTCCAGATAAGTATCGGAATTGGAAAGCTATAGACTCCAGAGTTGACTTTGTGGAAGATTAAAAGAACGGAATTATTAATAGGACTAATTTCACTTTGTACCCTGCACTTGTTAGTGATTCTCACAATGCTTACTAAATTTTAAGTTTGAATACTTTGCACTCTAACATCTCAGATTTATCCCACCTAATTCCAATCGATAATAATGTTAGCAAAACTAAATAAAATAGAGGATCATGCAAATTTACACATTTTTGATAGACTGACAGAGATTGTAAGATGATGGTAAATATGCTATCACTTAGTAGAGTGATAGAGGTATAACGATGTGTGTACAATATTTCATGGAATAAATATGAGAAGTTAGTGTGTAAAGGATCTAGAATTAAAGCTTAAGGTACAAAATTAGGATAGGGTATAAGTTTGGAGGTGCAAAATGAAATTAGTCCTTATTAATAACCAAAACAATAGTAGTTAGGTTGCTAGGTTAGGTGTGTGTAACTTTGAAAATTACACACAAGTGTAACACTCCCTCCAACCTTATTTATATTGTTTTGGAATTTAAATAATCTGAAAAATATCTAGAATTAAATTATGTAAAAGATAGGGATTAATTATCTATTCTTTGCGTCATGGAGCTGAAAAGTCTGCAATTAATATGTTCACTATTTTCAAAGGCATTTTTGGGATGAGCCCCAAATGTCCCAAAACGTTTAAACGAGACGTTAGTGCTATTGTGTGTTTGCCCCATGTTACGGGGCAAATGCTCCGTTGGGGGGGGGGGGAATGCTCGGTAACGTCGGATGAATGCTCGAATGAAACTCTTAGTCAATGTTTTTAAACTCGGACCAGCCAGTAAATCCGAGAAAGGGCCGGTTCGCGGTTCGACCGGTCGGTTCATCAGTTCTCTATTTGTTTTTTTTTGCAACTTTAATGCTAAGTACTTCATGGGTCTTC